TTCACTAGACTCACTTCTCTATTTTCTTTCTGACACAGAAAGTTGGACTCAGACCTCTGGCCAATAGGAGGGCATTGACAATCACTACCCTGGCCAGCACATAAAATATTTATACTCGGAGAAAGCTAGACTAAGTGGTCTGCAGAGTATTTTGCAGCATAGAAGCCAAACACTTTCCTAAAAGAGTAAAGCATGTTCACAAAAACTCCTCTTCATACACTGAAAAGTAAACTATGATTTCCATAGTAGAGGATTGCTTGATGTTCCCTAGGTGTGTAACTGGGACCTTCTTAAATCACAGTTTGCTCAGTTGAAGTGAGGGAGAATTGGGGTTTTCTTTGAGTTATGTACTTAATTTTTGCCATTATCAAGGACATCAATTTCTGGGTGGGAGGGGGCAGGTTTCAAGGAGCAGGCAAGATTGCCCTCTAGAGCATGCATCACACAGCCCCTGCCCCAGGTGGTGGCCTCGGGTCGGAGTCATGGGCAGGGCTTCTTGTCCGGCCACCTCGACATTATCCGGAATTGTGCAAAGAGGAGATGAGCTCTGATGCTGTAGACACTCGAAGGAAAGCAAAGGACAAGGGGAAAAGCGCAATGAGTGCAACACCACTGACCCCAGACAAGGCTTGGCTGGGGCTTCTGGCCCTGCCTCGGATCCGTGGCCTCTCCATCAGCAGCGAGGGGGCAGGCAGGGCTGGCCTTTTAGTTGAAAGCAGAGGGTGAGCTGAGCAGACGGTTCAGAGGGTCATTAGAAAGCATCAAAGGAGGCAGCCTCATGATGGTAATAAGACGGCTGTGAGGAAATAAAGTGGGCATTGATCTGCACTATCGAGTGTGACATTTTAACCGAAGCTAAAAGCCAAGAGCAAATCTAGCCTTCTTATTCATCTGCCTGCCTGTTTTAGTAAATTGTCTTCCCCCTCCCCCCAAACCACTGGCCTCAGAGGTCACTTCATATTAGCTGGCTTGTTAATACTGAGGCAATCAATACTTAATCAACAAGTAATGGGATTTTGCAGTCATCCTGTATGATCTTTCAATAAAGCCCCGAATCCATCTCGGCCCATTCCAAGCCTGCCGAAAGGTGCGCCATTGCAGCAGACCCTGGATTTGATGGTCTGATGCTCTTAGCTGATCTGCATCTTATTAAGACACCAGGCAGCCACCGTCCTTCACCCCTTTGTTTCCTGATCCCCACAGAGCACAGCGTGGCACAGAATCCAGGCATCTAAGATTTTACATGCATCAGTAGGAAAATTCAGATTTCTTTACAGAATAAGGTTCAGGACTCTTTGGTGGCATTATACAATTAAAAAATGAATAAATAAAGGACTAGACAGAGAAGAGGAGCAGCCAATGGACATTTAAAAGGGGAAAAATGATTGTTTTAATATATGATATTAGGGTAGGGAGAGAGAATCCCCACATGCCCCAATTAATGAACACTGGGTTGCCCCAGCCCTTCTCCAAATGGACTCAGGGAATGATGAGGGAAACCACCACAGGGCTGGGCATTGGCTCTGACATCCGAAGGGAATCCTGAAGGAGCTGCTTGGGTATTGTTATGTGGAGGGAAATCGGTTTTTGTGACACAGGGCTTTGTTCTCAGTACTCCCTTGGTATCTTGATGAACATGGGCGTTGTGCCCATGTGTCATCCTGCAACAGCCTTTTGCCGATGTTTAAAGGGGTCTCATAATAAGAGAGAGGGAACCACCAAGGGAAGGCCTTGCTGCCATTCTCAGAGGATTCCCTGAGCAGGTTTCCTTTAGGGAATTAATCACATTTCATTGTCTCACCTTTAGACCTTCAGGTTCCGAAAGTGGGTCTTGACAGTATCTGGGTCAGTGGTACCAATTCATGCCAATAAAGGTCAGTGAGTGATGAATAAAGCTGGAATGCTGATTCTTTAATCTAAGTTTCAAGCAAATAACCCTTCTGGCAAATGTGGCAGACACAAGGGGTCTGCCAGCATATCAGTTCCTATCAGAAAAGAAGCTGTATCATTAGAAAGTTGATTGGCAATCGTGGAATTAGATCAAGGGGAATTAGGAGATGATGGACATTTAATGGCAACAGGACCCAGCCCTGTGATTCATGCAGCTCCTGCTCAGCTAGGCCTGCTGGTCTGCATTTTGTAACCAAACTTACTATGTGTCTGTGAAAACACCCCACCAATTACACATATTGTTTCATGACAACCTACTGATATAGTATCAGATGATATAGTATCCCAGTATCAGATGAACAGATTGAGACTTAGAAAGTGGTTGAACTGCAGCCCAGGGTCATGCAGTTAACCTATAGGAGAGCAGAGATCTGAACCCATACCTGGGAATGGTGATATAAACCACTAGTTGTATTGCCTTGACTCTGCCATTTACTAGCTGTCTGACTTTGAACATGGCCCTTAAAATCTTCAAGCCTCAGTTTCTCTAGCCAATAAAATGGGAATAACAATCACGACTATCTCTTGGGTTGAAGGTTAAGTGCATTAGCAATCAAAGCCTTTAGCATAGAGTCTGGCTTAGAGTAAATAAGTATTAATAATACTATGATGTCATTGTAACATCATCATATCCACATCAGCCTGATATGTTGTCTTCCTTTTTCCACTCTGCTTAGATGGACACTGTCAAGGTTTCCCTCTGCCTCACCTGTTAGTTTAGGTTAAAGGCTGACCTGCCACTCCTCTGAATGGCACAGCCTTCCTTTAGCTATGTTCATGACCTTAGTCACACAAGGGTACATTCTGGGAGGCATGAGAGACTATTCTGTCACTTTTCCATCAGTTTATTTCCTAGAGGCAAAACAGATTTCTAGGTACACTGTTGGAAGCTGTGAGTAACAGGGTGCTAGCAAAAAAATGGTGTGGTTTTCCCATTGTGTTGCCCGTGGCTACAAGGACAGGGCACCACATCAAACATTTTATTTTCTGAGCAGTCAATAAATTTGCATTAAAAATAGTTTTGAGAGTCCTAGCAGCAAGGGTAAAAAGAGAAACTGAAATATACTGTTTCCTTTACTTCATTTCATTTAACTATTTTCAACAGAGAATATAAAAATATTTCTTAATCCTAAAGTTTTCTTTTATAGTTCATTTCCTTTTCAAAACCGTCTTTCATAATAACAGAGACAATACATGGTTACTTTTCAAATTAAAACTTTACAAAACTTTCCAAAATAAAAAGAGAAGTTTTTTGGTAACACTAACTCCTTAGTTGATCTCCTTGACTTCAGCCATTGTGCTTTCTTTCCATCGCTGACTTGATTAGATTGATCTTCCTTGAATAATGTGCTCACCAGGTCACTCTGCTCCTGAATAACTTTCAACAGCTACCTGACCCAAAGCCCAAGCCCCACCTCCTTTCTTTATCCAGCCCACTGTCACCTGAGCAGGACACCCCACTCCCTCGCACAGGCCTGTGTAAGTTAGAGCTGGGCTTACCTGCCTTGGTACCTCTCTTCCAGTTGTTATGACACAGGGAATTCTCCCCACCAATCCCTTTACTCTCACTAAACCACACCTAAGTTGAAGGTCCTTCCTCCATAAAATTAGTTCTGAAACTTCAGTCCTTTTGATCTTATTCTCCGAACCTTTCTAGTATGAAAGGTTTGTCTCTGTATGACAGGGTTGGCCTGATTATGTTGTCTCATATTTTCTGTTCTGTTTCCTTCATGTGATCTTATCTCCCCTATTAGATCAGAATTTCCCTTATGGAGGGAGCCAGTCTTAGACCTGTTCCACTAAGTTGGTAGGAAGCATTTAAGCGCATGGTAAGATTTTTAACCTTTTTGCCTAGATAGATTGTGTTTAAACAATTATCACAGTAATAATATTAAAACATTATTAGTATTATCATCATTGTTGAGAACTATATAATATATATAATACGTATTTTATAATCATAAATATAATAATAATAGTTGGTAAATTATTATTTACCATAAATCAATTTACCAACTAATGAGTTGACCTAAGTTTTCTCAGTCAATCCTCAAAAAATTATCTGGGCTAGGTATTATTACTGCTTTCACATTATAGCTGAGAAATCTGACTTTTTAAAAAGTTAAGCGACTTGACCAAGATTGCAGGGTGGAGAAATGTGGATGTGGGATCTGAAAGATTTATCTGGTTCTTATTTCCTAACAAGGCACCATCTGCACCAGTCTTGCATGTCTCTAACTGTCCCTTTGTAAACTGACTCCTGCACTCTAGCTTGGGAAACTGACCAAAAGCACGTGCTTCAAGGGAAAGGAATCCACTGTACTCTGTTTACATGCAAGGCTATTGCCCCTTTGCTGGGGCTTCCTTCCCCTGGCCCATGGCAATTTGCTCAACCAAGCCCCTCCTTCTGAACCTCAAGAGAATGCCTTTTTTTTCCTACTGCTCAGTCTTTCTCTCATTTTATGAAATTGAATATTCAGGTCCAATCCCCAGAAAATGCTTCAGAAGGAACACCTCTGTGCCATCAACCTGGCTTGCTTTTCTTGGGAAAGCAGAAGTATCTACACAGTAATGAATATGTGGCTTTGAACCAGTTCCTGAAATTCCTAGTGGAATATCTCAAAAAGGCTTTACTATACTTGTTGGATGGATGGAAGGATCATTTTGGGAAAGGGATCCTGGTAAAGAGGAGTTTTCTGGGCTTTACTAAAATAATATCACTTTTTAAAAACTAACAAAATTCATATTTTAGGGCAATTTTAGGCTCACAGTGAAATGGAGAAGGTATAGAGATTTCCCATATACCCCTGTCCCCACACATGCATAGCCTCCCCATTATCAACATCCCATACCACACCCATACATTTGCTACAGTTGGCAAACCCACACTGACACTAGGATGTGAAAGGAAAAAAGCCCACCATCTACACACTGTGCATCTCACTCCAGCCCCCACCCCTGCCCAGATCCACTCTGCCCACCTTCCCACCCTGTTCTGGGCAGAGAAGCCTGATAGGAGCATTACTTCGGTCTGTGCTCCTTACCCTCAGGCTCACAGTTGCTCTTGGCCCGTGGGAAGCGCCAGCGGAAGATCTCCAGGCAAGATGAGAGTGCGTGGGAGTTTGTTCTTCAACTCCATCCTGCAAGTCGCCATGTGCGACTGGGCTTCTCAAGTGAAGACCACAGCTGATGGTAGGCAGCTTTCTCCCCAGCTACGGCCAGGCTCTCTGGTGTCTGTCCCCACTTCCTGCTTCTGCCCATTCAGTCATAGGACTGGTAATTGACCCTGAACATAACCAGCCCCAAAGTAGTACACAAGCATTTATGTTTCTCATACCTTGTTTAATTGTCCCTTTATTAATCTTCCTTTAATTACCCTACTTGAATGTGCTTTCATTGACTTTAACTGATACCATATATTATAATAGTATTATACTGAGGATGAAATGCCTCAAGACCCTAAAGATCTAAATAAAAAATAAAAATGTAGAGGGCTTCCTGAAAGAAAAAAAGAGAAGTGTTGTACTCTATTTTATCTCCTAACTCGAAAGAACTCTTTTAAGTGAGCTATGAGTATAGTGTGTGTTTATATTTTGGAAGAGGATGGTGGTAAACTTAGAAATTAGGATGAGCGTCACATGTGAAAATAAATGATGCTGTGACTGGCATACTTCTCTAGTGATTATGATAAAGCCCCAACTCTTAATTTGGATAAATTGCTAACAACCCAACTTAGCACACCCATTTGCAGTAATCATTATTTTGCTGACTTGGCTCTATGTCTGGCTTGCATTTCAATAGTGAATGCAAAGCCTATACGCATTTAAGGACTTTCTTGCTAAACATCTCCGTCTTCACAAGGAACCCAACCCAGAATCAAAGCGTCCCAATGCCTGTGCTGTATTTCTGGTTGAACATTAAGAACTTTTGAAGTATGGTTTACTCTTAAATGCTATCAAGGGTCTTTTGAATCAGTTGCTGAATCTGGTTGTAAAGTTCAAAAGACTTCATTTCAAAGCAAAAACCATTAGCCAACTGCTTTATTAACATAATGAATCATACTTAGACGGAGAGCTCTACCCCAGCCTCCACTCACTCCTTGCTTTGTCACCACGTGCTCAAGGCAAGGATGGGAATGGTGTGCACATCAACCGAGTCTAGTTCAGTCATTACCTGAATGTCTTTCCGAGGACCAGCTAAATTAGCAAGCTGCTCTATAATGATTTTTTTCTCCCTGTTGGCCACTCATATGAGTTAGGAGATTCCATCAGCCATTTAGAAAAGAGCCTTGGTCAGAAGTTAATAAGAGCCCTAGGTCTATTATTAGCCAACTAACTTGAGTGTTTTGAAACAAGTCACTTAACCTCTCTGAGCTTTTGTGTCCTTATCTATGAAGTGAAGCATTTGCTAAGGTTATTTATGCTCCACACTGAAATGGTCTGGCCAGGCTCCTCCAAATGTTTGTGGGCTCCATTTCTCTATAGAGGTCTTACTCCAGTATCTTTTGAATGATGTCTGGAGTTTACCAGGGCATTTATTTCTACGCCTAGACATCTCAAGGTAGTTGAAAGAAAAGCTATGTATTCTGAACATAGATACTGAGTCCCCAAGACACAGTGATACCCACCTCTGCTCTCCAGAAACCAAACTCATCTGCTGGCTTAATATCAGCTTGACCTTCCAAGTCCACATCTATGTTCCAGGCCAGCTTTGATTTCATTTTCAGCTGAGTTGTCTATTTTTCTTTGATGTGATAGTTTATAAAGCAAACTTGAAGGGACTCTGAAATTGGTCTGGGCAATGTTGTTTTAGCAGGGGCCTTGAACTTCAATGGAAGAAGGCCAATCATACATTCTGCATGTATTTCACCAAAGATGACAGTCCGTAGCTAATGCCTCAGAGCCTGCATTCCAAAGACACCTTTAACTGAGTGCAGCTCAGATGGCGAGAAGGGGCAAGGAAAGGGAAATGAACATCTGGCAAGGTCAAAAGTGTTTTGAGTTGTATCCAATACCAAGCATGTCCTGATTAAATATTTCATGCTTTCCCAAGCCAGACATCACTTACCTATCAGCTGTTCCCTTCAGCAGGGATAAAATTGCTTCTTTGGGAGGATGCATTAACATAGGGCTATAACAGCATGTTTAAGAAGCTTCATGCAAAGTTTGTTTTCATCTGCATGTGTGATCCATCTCCCCTTTTCTGCTTCCTTCCTCCCCTCTTTACCTTTCTCTCTTTTCTTTTCACTGTCTCACCTCATCCCTATCTTATATTGGAGAATGGATTTTATCCATGGATCAGGCTCAAAATATTTTCTCTCCTTCCAACCTCAGGATCCACTCTCTGTACAGGTTGAAGGAGGTTGCAAGCTGGTTCCCAGGTGGTTCTCAGACCTTCTCTCACTGACCCTGAGCCTAGCAGGACAAAAGGCACTTGTGTGTCTGTTGTGTGTCTGTAACATTGTGGGGTTTTTTTTGTCCAGAGTTCTTAGCTATGCAGTTAGGTGGATAGGCTTCCTGGTGACTATCTTTTTTGGTGGATTCCTCATTATTAATATGCAATGTTCTTAAGCCTTTTAGGGCTTTGTTCCCTTAAATTTTATTTTGTCTTGTATTAGTATTGCTAACACCTTTCTGGTTATTTATATGGTGTATCTTTTTTTCTCCCTTTCATTTTTAACCTTGTAATGTGGCTTAAAGAGATCTCCTTCAGGTAATGTAACTTTATCTGTTTAACTAATCTGATAATCTCTATCTTAATATAGGAGTTTAGGTACTTAGTGTGCGTTTGCACATGCAATGTGCATATACTGTGATTACTGGTAGGTAGACTTGGGATATTTCTACCACCATATATTGTATTTGCTGTTTATCCTTTTCCTTTTCTTCTTTATTTCAACCTTCTTTTAAACTGAAGAAATTCTTGATATTCCTCTCTAAACTCCACCATAAACTTTGTTTCTATGCTGATCTGGAATATATGCATTGCACTGCAGTTCACTTAACCTTTAACACACTTATATAACTGTAATTTTAAAATATTATCTACAGTAATTCAATTTTTTCTATTTTCATCCTAACCAGTAGAATAATTTTAGCACAATTTAGCTGCTCATTAAACGTTCCACTGTTGTTGATTTTATTGTCTAGAATCACAATTTTATCTATGTTAACATAAAACCAAGGATTTGAAAAAGCAATCAATACAGGCTAAAATTATGTGGGAACTTTAGTCAAGTTCTGTGCTCTTCACAATTTAATATTTCTCTCTAAACTCTTCTTATTGTATATTTTATTTTTGCAAAGGCATATGTTTAATCAATCATAAGGGCCTATATGGGAAAAAGCACTTCTAGTTTTTATGTCTAAAAATATATTCATTTTGTCTTTATTTTTTGAAGACAGTATGGCTAGGCATAAAATTCTAGGGTTGACAGTTGATTTCTTTCAATTCATTGAAAATAAGAATCCACTATCTTCTGACCTCTATTGTTGCTGATAAAAGCCTGCTGTCAAAAAACAACTAGCATCTCCACTGGGTAACGTGTCTTATCTTTATGAAACTTTTAAGATTTGTTCATTTATTATTATTTATGTATTAATGGATTTAAAATGGAGATATATATTGAAGCATGAAATTACGGTCCATCTTGAATGAACTTGCCTTCTTTTTTAAAAAAATTAAGGTGATGTTTAAAAATGTTAATTGTCAAAAATCCAGATAAGTAAAGTAAAAGAAAAAGTTTAATCCAACTATATAGAAAAATCTTATGCTATAAAAGTATATATTATGCATACTTTTGTATAACTGTGCATTAATAATATCTTTCATATTTCAGAGATAACCTTCTATAACACATTTTAATGGCTTCATAGGGGAAACATCTAGGAATTAGATGTGAAACTTTTTTCACTGAAGTTTTAGGAAAATGATACACACACACATTATCAAGCTTCAGTTTTCTGATACTCTGTAAACATCTTAAGGGCATGAGGAAAAGATGATGCTATGCTCACTTCAGATTTCAAGGAAATAGTAAAATAATGAGTAAATAATGAATGGTTGAATGTGTAAATAAATGAGTAAACAAATGAATAGCTGGTCATATGAGCAATAAAAATACTATAACTTGCTTCTTCTCATTCACCTACCCATCTCCCCAATCATGTGGTGGGAAGTTATGATGCTTCTAAAAACCCTTAGGCCATCTAATGATTATCAATATGTCCTAGTTTAGTGCCAATATATAAAACTGCACTATTTAGGGCATCCTATTGTACAAAGAATGACTCTATTGCTTGCTGCCTTTCACATTTTTTCTGGTCTTGGAATCATTTTTTGAAAATGAGTGATTGTAAAAGTTTTTCTAGATTTGAGAGTGAGTCCTCTTGCATATTTGTTTACACATTGACTAGAAATGTGTAGGTGTGTTTGAACACAAACATGTGCAAGTCAAACACACTATCCAGACTGACCCCTCACAAATATTTATACATGGAGTTAGTACATGACCTAGGCATAGGAGATCTTTTTCTTTCTGGAAGTCAGTAATAGCTATGAAGGTGAATATTCCTGTGTCAGGGACCAGCATTCCATTCTGCAGATGCAACATGAAATGACATTAAAATCTTGCTTGGGCTTCTATCTGCAATAGAAAACACCCTGTTTCCTGACCAGAAAATACACCTTTATAACTAGCCACACTCTGTGTAACTAAGAAGACCAGGGAAGAGATTACAAACCACTTGATACTCACCTTTTCTACCAGAAAATAATGCTCATCATCAACTGATGGTTGGTTGATAAAGGCTAACATATTATATTTCTTAAATCATCATTATTAAAAATGAAATACTTTTTTAATCTTTATGGATGATAAATGTATAATAAGTAGTCATAAATCTTAAATTGTAAGGACTTTCAAAGAAGGCTTCTGATTCTGTGTCTCATATTCATGCAAGTAAAATTATATTATTCTTTATTTCGACTACCATTACTTAGTAACACTACATTTCAGTCACTGTGGTAGGCCCTAGTGAACAAAACACAAATCTTACCTATTAGTGATTTGGGTTCAGTGTATTACAGGTAAGGAATCTGCTATGCCTCATGTGATGTAAAGGGTTTTGCCAATAGACATATAGCAAATCAGTGATGGAGAAAAGGTTAGAACACAAGTTTCCCACAGATAAACAGCTTGCTATCTGTTTACACAAACCAAATACTACATATGTTCAGTGCCATTAGTGTCAGAAGGTTTTTAAATGGAGTTCCAGAATATTAAAACAGAAGTGCCACAAGTGTCCACCTCCATATCACTTATTGTAATAATAATAATAATTAACATTGAAATAGCCCTCATTATATCCCAGATATGTTCTTACTTCTTTATATTTATTAAATAACTTACTTCTTATAGCAACCCAATAAGGTAAGTGTATTAAACCCATTTTACAGAGGAAGAAACCCTAAGGCACTAAGTTCACAAGTAATTTGCCCCAAATAACAGAGCTTATTATTGGCAAAGAAGGATATAATATCCTGGCTGTTAACCACTCTGCTATCTGGCCTCTCAAGGGGATGATCATTGATGTTACAAGGTTAAGAGATGCTTTCAAATCATGAATAAATAATCAGCCTATTTTTTTGGCACACATGCTTTATTAAAAAGTTCTTTGAAAAAGCTGTTTTAAATTCCTGTTACTTAGAAAAACCTCATTTCTTTATTATGCCAAACACTTAAAGGCTATACTTTGAGTGCAGTGGGTCCCATTTCTCTTTGAAAGTGGGTACTCTTTAACATTTAAAATTCTCAGACTCCCAACTTACATATTTAGTTATTCATATATTTCTTGTTGAGCTTATAGATTTCTAATTACTTTACAGTACTTTACGGTCCTCCCATTCCTGAAGCTGGATTATCATTGGACTAAAAGCATTTGAAAAAAGGACATGTGTTATTTGTTCTACATTTTTTATATCTGTGTTTTAGTATTTGTTCTCTCATTAAGTATCCTACTATATTTCTCTGGAATAAAATTAATAATTTTCACTTCAATTTTCCTAACTTAGGATTAGTCCTACCAAGAAAGAGAAAGGCTCTTAAATCTATAGTAAAACAGAAATGTTTCATCAGAAAATATTTTATTTCATTTTCAATGTCTCATATTCATATCACTCATAAATATGAGCTTTATACTTCTATTTGACCTCTGCCTGCAACTCCTGCAACAAAGAAAAGGAAAAGGAAGGAAAAAAGAAAGAAAGAAAAAAAAGAGAAAGAAAGAGAGAGAGAAAGAGGTGGGGGTAGGGAGGGAGGGAAGAAAGAGGAAAGAAAGAAACTCTTTGGGACATATGCAAGTATCACACTAAAAACAAGATTGTGTATTTAATCCTTAAAATTGGTATTTAGAATAATTCATTCTCTCTCTATGGTTGCAGGTTAAAAACAGAAGTATCAACAATTTCTCAAAGAAATGGAGATTATTTCAGAGTGACAGCCCAGGAATACCCGCATTTATAACCTACATAACACAGTGCTTAATACATAGTAGGCAGGCAGTGCTCTCTGGCTGATTTGTTTGATGTGCTATTATTAACAATATACCATTAAGTGAAAGAGCTAATATCTGCTCTTAGCCCATCTATATCATTTCAATGTTGGCAATATCAAGAGTTTTGGTCTTTAATCTCTGATTATGCTTAAGGTTGATCACAGGTAGAAAGCCTTATGGCTCTGAAACTGTAATTATTGGCTAATATATTCTATCCAAACAGTTAAACCATTGTGTATACAGAAAGAAACTGTATTTCCTAAGCTATCCCACTGCAAGATGCAGGTAAAGCTCTTAAAATTTTTATTTGAAAATCATTAATTTTATGTAAAAAATTTAGGAAATGCATGTATCACAAAGCAAGCCTTTGTTTCTCATCATGAAGTACTCAGTGGTAAATTGATTTGGAAAATTGAGTATGATACAAGAGTCAAAGAGTGTTCTAAAGAGAAAGCATAAATGTAGGGAAGGCCATTGTGGGTAGAGACTGCTTATCATTCCCCAATAAGTATGTTCCCCTTTTCTTCCAGTCAAAACTTCAGATGAGTTTCCGTTTCTAGTATCACTGAGTAAACTTCTACTGGCTGACTTTTCACAGACAACAACTGTAAACTATGGACAAAATACGAGGACAATGACTCAAAGCCCCTGGAGATGGAACCAAGCAAGTGGATTCTGGAGGGAGTTGATGATATGAAAAAGAAGGACTGGTTGATTTGCCAATTTTTTAATGACTTTTAGATGGAGAGCAAGCCACAGTTAGCACTAAGTAGACTGTTAAAATGCTTACAGAAAACCTACAGGCTTTCTGATGTAAAGGAACAGAGGAAAGAATTTGAAGCAAATGCAGCAACTGGAAAGTGGGGTCCACCCCAGAAAGGAGAAACAAAGAGAAGGAACTCCAATTTCAGTGTATAAACTCTGCCCAAATCTCTGGCTTTACTCTGAACCATACATGAGCAGAATAAAATCCAGCTAAATATTAAAGAACTGAACTGGGATTTGAGCTATAGCCCAAGAAACAGAATTTTTTGGGTTGAATCTGACCAACTTGATTGCCTCTTAAAAAAAAAAAAGTTATTTCTCAGGGGGGATATAACAGATTCAGTGTCTTCATAACAAAATATTTACAATGTTCAGAATATACATCAACATTATTTGACCTACAAAGAACCAGGAAAATGTTATCTACTCTTAAATAAAAGGCAATTGATGGAAACTAATCCTTTGATGACCAGGATGCTGAAACAGGCAATTATAATTATGCACAATGACATAGAGGACAGTATGATTATAATTAATAAAAATATAGGATAGCTTAGCTGAGAAATAAAAACTTAAAAAGGAAACAAATAGAAATTCTAGAAACAAAAAATCTGTACTATATGAAATAAAATTTAACTAGAAAAGGTTAGCAAAAGGAGACAACTAAGAAGAGTCAGTGAATTTGCGGACAAGTCAATAGAAGTTATTCAGTCTGAAAAACAGAGATCAAAAGATTAAAAAAATAAGCAGTCTTAGGGTCAGATCATGGTCAAGTTTACATATAATTGGAGCCCCAGAAGGGAAGGAATGGGTTAGGAAAGCTATTTGAAGAAGTAATGACTGGAGAGTTCCAAAGTTTAGCAAAAGACATAAATTTTCAGATTCAAGAAGTTTAGAAAATCCTAAAATGGAATAAACATGAAAGGAAATGAGCATCATAATCAAACTACTAAAACCAAATATAAAGAGGGCCCTCTAGACCTTCAGCTGACCATATGGTTGCCTGAAATAAAAGCCACATTTTCCAGTCTCTTTTATGCCAAGGTGTGGTCATGTGACTAAATGTTGCCCAGTTGTATGCAAGGGGAAAGAAGGCATATAGTTTCTATAGTTTCTAGAATGTATCCTTAAAGACAGATGTGCATCTTCTTCTCCTCTTTCTGCCTTGCTGCTGACTGGAGTGTGATGTGCTAGAAGTCTCTTCGGACTGTGAGCAAGAGTTAACACCCTAGAGATGGCCAAGTGACAACCTAGATCCTGGGGCTTCTAGTGCAAAGTACCATTCTGGCTCTGGATGACCTCATAGAGCAGCAACCCTACACCAGCTTCAGAATACTGTTTGGGACAGAAATAAACTTACATCTTTTTACCTTGGAGAAAAATGGAAATTTTATCTTTTCCTTTTGGCTTTTGATCATGCAACTAAACCTATGTGTACATGAATACAGCAAAAACATGTAGTATGAGTGTTAGGGAACAGTTTACACAGGGCAAAAAGCAAAACATGAATAAGTCAGAAGTCTGGCAAAGAGGTAATTAGATTTTTTTTTAAATTTCTACTTTAATAAGGTAAGAGGTTATTAGTGGAATCAAAGTGCTATTCTCTTTGGTATTTTTCCCAAGCTTAATGTAAGTAATGCTTTGTTAAATAGCTCAGAGGAGTTTTCAATCAATCAACTTCAAAAAACAAAGGAAGAAAGTCATAAACATAATTGAAGGAGCCTACTAATACTTTCCATTTTCCTCCCATCCTGGGTTTGTTATAAATTAAACCCAGTGTACATTCACTGTCTCTCACCTGCTGTCATCTAACTTCTCCCCAAGATCTTGGTTTGCTTAAGGTTTCCTTAGGCCTGTATCTCTTTTGACTAGATAAAAAAAAACCCTCCATTAATTCAGCATGTAGGAGATGTGGCTTGGTTTTTCCATTTTGTGTTGGTGTAGAAACATGATTTCCCTATGAGACTGTGAATTATCACCAGTCCTTCCGTATGTCTAATTGGACCGGCTCCATCCTCGCAGAATTTCAGCTCTACCCCCCAACTCTCCCTGGGGTGGAGATAGCTGCCATTTAGTGATGTTGCCCTATGGGGGAGCAGGTACCTTTTGCATACATTTTCAGTACAGTTTGTTTTTAAGATTATAAAAGAGGCAGTATTTTTTTCTAAACATCAACAATGACATCTCTATCCATCTATAGAATTTGTCTAAACATTCTGTCTAATATATGGATACATATGTATGTATTTTTGTCTATGCACGTACATATAGAGATAAAGAGGAGTCTCCAGATTATCAGCTGGCACATGGTTTGCCTGAAATGGAAATATGCAGGTACATATATATGTATCTATACATTAGATAAAGAGTTTAGGAAATAAATTATTAATTTAAAGCCAGCTTCATTAGGCCCCTCTTGGTGGCTGACTGTCGGTGAATATTACTCCAGTTCTGTGACTCTTGTTAGTTGCCTCTGCCAAGGACAGCCAGCCAACTTTCACATGGCTTCATTGTCAGCACCTGTCGATGCTATAAGGATCAATAGTTTAGAACTGAACATTAGGCAGATTTGGTCTCAAGGTGTTCACACTAACCAGTCTGTCCCACCAATGCCCCTGTGAACATCTGTGTGAGGAAGCAAAGCTTTTCTCACTCAGTCTATTCAGCACTTGATTCCAATTTAAATTAAACACACCCAGGAGGACGGCAGCTGCCCGGCTTCCTTTACTTCTCGTACCTGTACCATGACCAATCAGGCAAACTTTGGTGTTTTGTGGGTTTCAGTTCTGTCGTGTCACCTCAGTAAAATTCCTGTGACTCAGGTTCTGTGGCCTTCTTATGTGTCGACCTTAAGAGTCATCACATTTGCTCAAATGCGCTTTGCTTTTCAACCCATGCTTATTGTTTTAGTCAAGAAGTACAACTTTTAAAGGACCAACCACTTATTTGTAGGATTATGAAGTTCACATGATGTGTTTTGGACCAACAAAGGACAGGTCTTCATCTGAAGGTGGCTGATCCTCATCAGACTTCGGGGGTTCTGGGACTTCCTTAGGTCATTTCTTAGACAAGTTTGAAAGGAGTATGGTTAAATTGCATAGATATATGTGCCTGAAAATGAAAACAGAGAAGAGTAGGATCCATAGATTTAGTGTTTCCTAAGATCTGCCCTGTACATTCGTGCCTCTGTATTTCTGCTCATTGTATTAGTGTCCTGTGGCTGCTGTACCACAAACTGTGTGGCTTACACAACAGAAATATATTGTCTCGCAGTTTAGAGTCTAGAAGTCTGAGATCAAGGTGCTGGCAGGTACATGCTGGCTGCCTTTCCTTTTAGAGGGAGACCAGCTGGATGCCCCTAACTAGGTTCAGGGAGATTTCCAACCAGTGGTGTCTGTCCTCAGTTTTGTACCCACTCTCTATTTGGACAAAAAGAAAAATGACACCTCTCCTTGGAACTGACACATCACTCTTTCACCAAGCAGGCACAGTCTTGCCAAGTCTTCATGGTAAATATTTACCTTGAATTATCACAGGCCTGAAACATCTTCTGTCCAGTGGAGCAAAATGGTGATTTTGGATGTTTGGAATCTGGAACCTGAACCTGTGAGGAATAGAAACACAAGCTTGCATGCGATCAGAATCTCTGGTCTGCCAAGGAAAATGTACTTTATACAGCCACAGGCTTGACCTCCAAGAGCCTTAAAAGGCCTCACATACTCAAAGGTGCATTACCAGGCCTTACACTAATTCATCATGATAGCTAAAGTGCTCTGTGTAAAACCACAGGAGATCTGAGTCCCCTGGGCATTGAGGAGTCAGCATTAATTGCTTCGAGTTTAGCATAGGGAGCCATAAGTGAACATAGGGAAAGCCTATTTGCATATTGTTTGCAATAAAGCTTAGAAATGGTTCCAGTTGTCTCAGCTGAACATTCTCCCTAAAAGTTTATCCAAAGTTGGGACTCAGTACAGCCTAGTCGAATAGAACCTCCCCTCTCTGCTCTGACAGTTTACAGGTTGCATCAAGAATACTCAAGACAAATTTTTGTTCTTAGCAGGCTGGACGTGATTTATTAATTCACTTTGGAAATAACTGCAATTGGGAGGGATCAGCTGACAGCCTTAATTACATTAGAAAATATGCTTCACTGTAGCCTGCCCCTATCCCAGGGTACAGAACACCTAATTATCATAATTTTCAAATTTTATTATTATTATTTGAAAAACTTTGATGGAGAGCAGACTCTGTCGACTTACCTACGTCAAGGCAGTGGCTGAGTCACATTTAAACCTTGGAAGAGATAGTTTCCCCAACTCGCTTGTTAAGATCCTTAAATGGGAGACGATCTACTGGCTGTTTTTAGACTCAGATTCTATTTGTCCAGCAGAACTAGCTTCCCAGTCCCTCTCTTCTCCTCTGGGCTGAGAGGGGAATGCTCAGGTGCTCTGTTGCCAGAGTGATTAGGCTGGCTGAGAACTCTCCTTGGACAGGAGGTGGGAAAGCCTTTGGGATCATGCCCTCCTCTCCTTGTTAAATGACTGTGAGTGTGTGTGTGTGCGCGCGCGCGCGCGCGCAGCACACCTGCCTAGGGGGTAGAGGTTTGTTTTTATTTGTAAATCGAAAACAAAACGCTTCCTGAAATGAAGCTGGGTCTATGTTAAGCAGCAAGGATGCCAGGCAGAAGTTTCAGCTGTTATCTTTGGCTTTATTATCAACTTCTCCTGTCTTTAGAGAGCCTCTGTGTCTGGGTTTCTACATCACCCCAGGGCAAGCAGACCCTCCCTCTGCTTCTTCTGCTGCTGTGATGTTTATCAGACTAAGGAGCTCACTTCCTGTGCCCGCACTGAACTGGCCGGCTGCAGCGGGCCCCAGCCCTGCGTTCACCCTTACCTTCATATTATCTGCCTTCCATTTTCCACACCTCATCATTCCAAGTATCCCTGACCCATAGATATTAAGGAAACTCAGGGTTGAGTTAACCATTTTGAATAATTCAAACTCTCTGTTTAAGTGGATCCATTTAGAAATAAAAACAACTTGTTCCTTCATATGTATATATATGGCAACAACAAAAGAAATAGGAAAGACTGCTGGTCTGCTCAAATTAGCTTGAAAACCAATCATCATTCTGTAAACTTTCCACTCCCAGTTAAGTTGCCTAATGGTTATCTGACTAGGAATAGGGGACAACAGAGTGGAAAACACAGCAACTTTAAGCAGGTGATCCCGAGTGCATCCTTGCTTCGTGGCCGAGACTGGGGCAAGTCCCTCATGCACCCTGGCTTCAGTGTCCTCACTGGTAAAATCAGAGTCAATTCTGGGTCCTTTACTCACAGAACTTCTCTGAGGACCCTGTTGTATACCTCATGGTGACATTGTTTAAAATCTTTTGAAGTGCTTTGAAAATGCAAGACTGCATTATCAGAACTGACTCAGAGCCTTGAGTACAGTAGGAACTAAATAAACATTTCCTGAAGTGAGTAGACTCACTATTTACCATTATATTAAAAAAAGGATACGAATGCACCACTATCCACTCAAATGATTCTGTCCCTGCCTACATATAGCCTGAATCTCTGGGCTCAGCTCTTCATGAAAAGCACTGAAAAAGCAAATATACACACCGAGGGACCCAAGTCCCTTGGAGAGCATTTATTCTCCCCCAAGATATAGGTAAAACTTGTTTACATGGAGCCAAAGACAACATTTTAGTCACAAAAGTCTAAAGATGAAGATGCCTTAGAAATTAATGTTCAATTCTCATCTTCCAACTCCATTTTCACGAAAAGAAGTCAAAGCTGAAAGTTTCAGTGACTTTCCTAAATTTTTTGGCTTTGTTACACAGTGGAGGAAGGTCACTGATTTTCACCAAGTCCTGTAATCTTTGTGCCTCCTTTTTCACTGAGCATGTGGAAGGACTGCTGCTTTGAAGAACAGAACTTCAGAAATACTGCCCTTAGGTAAATGCCATACCTCACAGAGGAGAAGCCTGAGGTTCCACATGGCCCTCTGCTAACAAAAGCTTGCTCCTTCATTATCTCTGGCACAGATGGCCAGAAGTGGTGTTCCAAACCCTCCTCACTAGAAGTATCCACCTCTCATTTTGGTGACAGGCAGATACTGTTGTGTGCCTGTGTCCCTCCCAGCATTCCTTTTTGCTTCCCTCATTCCACTGGATGAGTCAGTCTTCTGATCAGGTTAAGAAGAAAGATTGCTTTCTTCTGTGGTTTCTTGTTGGGGTTGTAGATCTGATAAGGAAGGGTAAAGACCAAGGAAAGAAGTTAGGAGTAGGGGCTTATTCA